AGGTTGCCTAAACGATGGCTTCTTTTACAAAATACTTTCAAAACCACACCAAACACATTTTCAAACAACAAAAGCAAGTGATCTAGCAAGTAACTAAGAGCCCATGGAAAACCATGGATGAAAAGGGTGTTAATACCTTACCTTTTCATAATCTACCCCCCGAACTCAAGAAACAATCTCAAAGGTCTTTCCTGTGCTTTTTCACCTTTCCTTTTGGATAAAAGAAAAGTCAGTGGCGACTCTTGTTAACCGCAACATTTGCAATCAATTGCAAAACCCTCAAGTCAGTTCTCCCACCATATCACACAAGGTATCTTAGCATTTTCTTTAAGGGAATAAGATCATTTGAAAGGCAACTTAGATAGCGTCATCGAGAGACTATGATCTTGTATTTGCTAAGATACCTTACATGCGTAATATGGTCATTTTGTATAAGGCAGCCAAGTGGAATAACCCTAGGGGTGCTTGTGTGCAAGTGTATTGTTTTCATGCTTGTTTTTGTCTTGAATTGGGGTTTTCTAAGTATTGGATTTAGTCTTTCCATACAAACCCTAATTACTAGCATGTTATATAAAAGCGATAAATTGCGAAATTTAAAGTTACTACGCTATTACAATATTTGTGGGGAGGGGGTATACAAATTGAATGGGGATTGCAAAAATGTAAACCTAGTTAGTCTATTACAACCATATTGAATGGGTATCAATGTACAAGGAATTAAATGGATACAATGTACAAAAGTGAATAAATGTACAAAAATATAAAATGTGAAGTAAATGGATATTTGTTTGGATTTTTTAGAGAAAAGGATTTTGTCTTAACCTAATTAATTAAAGAAAATAATTAATAAAAAAAGTAAACCCTAAATTTGTTTAAGAAAAGATTTTTAAACAAAACCCTAAATCTATTAGTTAAAATAAAAGAAAATAAGTTTATGAGAAAAGTGTTTTTTTTTGGTATTTTTGTCTTGAAAGTATTTATAGTATTATAAAATATTTTTAGCCATTTTTATACTAAAATAATATATTTTAATAGGTGTAAAGAGAAATTAAATACTAACCTAGTTTTAATTTAATTTACAAGATTAGTCCATAAAAATAAATAATGTGTAGTTAAATAAAATATGTTTTTGTGAGAAAAATAAAATAAACTAAGTTAAAATGAAAATCTATTTTTTTGTGATTTTTTAATATTAGGAAAAGTATTTAAGAGAATAAAAATGAAATGAATAAAAATAAAAATAAAAATAAATAAACTTGGGTCAGGAATGCAAACAGCCTGCAGGGGGTTAGCTAGCAAAAATATAAAAAAAACAAGTCAGACCCAAAAAGGCCCAGCGCCTGCCAAAAAGACAAAAATCAGAAAAGTAAAAATGTGAAAAAATTAAAAGGGTACCACTGAGGCTCGAACCAAGGTCCCAAAGGTTACAGACGCGCGTTTCTACCACTGGGGTGGCTATACATCCGTTAACATAGGCAAATCAATAAATATGTAAGGCAAAACGCGCCCTGATGACTTCATCTTCAACCTCCAGCCAGACCAACTGTAACTTGCTCATTTCTCATCAAAAATGAAAACTGTAAACATGAAACTTGTAGCAAATTTTCTCACGGTTTCAGAAATGTAAAGCATTAAAACTATAGATCAAAGATAAGCATAAATTTTAATGGCCCTAATCTGAACCCTAAAAATCTCAGAAATTTCAGTTTCAAAATTCTCTAAGCTCAAGCAAAATTAATGGAAATTATGGACATGGTTAGCTTCAGGGCAATGATATCTACATGTTTTGTTCACAAATAAACTATTGATAATGCATGTATGAAGAGTTCAAAGTTGAGAAAACTTACCTCAAAACTGGAAATCGTGTTTTGAGTTTGAGCTTGTTTCAAGTGATGGTGATGATCAGGTTAGCTTCCTTGAGGTCCCAGGAAGCTAATGCAATGCTTAGCTTGAGCAATGGATGGCTGAAATGGTCTGGAGAAGTCAATGTGTAGAGCTCTGTTTTTGGAAATGGAGGATGGTTTTAATGGTGTTAAAGTTCTATAACAGGGCATGAGATCAACTCTATATGATGTTTAGAAACTTTAGAAACCAAAAGGCCAAGAAACGCACGAGTAGATTATGAGTTTCAAGTTTTTTGTCAGTTTGTGTGAAAATGGAAGTGTGTAGTGTAATTCTGAGTTCTAGGTTCTTTCAAGGCTTGAGCATTCGTGTGTTTGTGTCAAATGGTTTGCGTATGTATAAGCAAAAGTGTTTGAGATCTTTGGCAAGTCAGAAGTACAAGTTTTTAGCTAAAGTCAGAAGTACAAGTTTCTAGCTTTTGTCTAGGTTACTTGATTTTGAAGAAAAGAGGGAAGCAAGTTTCAAGGAGAGGTACAAGCATCGGATGGGTGATTGTAAGTGTTTGGAACATTTCTTATAAGTTATAGGACCTGTTTGATCAGAAAAGAACAAGTGCAAGGCTCAAGAACAAGTTTTGTACAAAAAGTCACTTTATCAAAATGGCAATCTAACCTTTCTTCCAAAAATGGATAAAAAGCATGTCTATGCATTGAATGCTTGAAGTGAGGCCTCTAAAAGCTGTGTAAACCATTAATTATGGAGTTCCTAACAATTTTGAGGCCTGCAAAGTAGTGTTTATGCAGCATGGTTTGAATTTGAATTTTGTTCATCACTAAAATGACTTGTAATAAAAGTGATAAAACCCTAACTTCATCTCTTCGATTCTCCCTACTCAAGAATGATCTCAAGGAGTTCTTGGACACTTTGGAAAGATTTCAATGTGCTCTACAACCCATCTTTGAATTGCTTTTGAATATTCCCATTGGAACTATATTAAAAAGTGCCATGAAGTTGGGTCAAAATCCTGACCAAATTAGGGCAAAATTTCACTAAGTGTTTAGTTTCATGACCACATGTTCTTAAAATTATAACTTGATATCCAAGCACTTTTGGAAGGAGTTGTGCAAAGAAAAGTTGTAGATTTCATGGAGATCTACAACTTTCATGTTAGAAGTTTCTCTTGAATCATCTTGCATCATGGTGAAAATTTTGTTCAAAATTGTGAAAAAATATGAAATTTCCAACACTTAAAAAAATTTCTAAGTTTAGAAATTTTGACTTTTCAAAATGAAATTTTGAATTTTTGATTTCTTGATGAATAAGTTTCATATTTTGACATGTTTTGATAAATTATGATCTTTGGCACTTGAATTTGACCAAAAAGTCAAAGTTTGACTTTTCAGTATACAATTGACTTTTGATCAGTTGACTGAAAAATTCATCTGTCAATCCAATGGACTTGCAATGTTTTGAACCATGTCATTAGGTCAAAATGATGCAATTGGACTCTTGAGATCATGCCTTAAACCAATTGACCATTTACTAGGTCAAAAATCAGAGATTACCCTCTCTCAGTCAAAACCCTAATTTTGACTATTTTGCCCTTTTGGTGATTTGATCAAATTTCTTGAGGAATTATGGTCCAAACTTGATCAAATGATACATATGAGTCTAAAATGTTGATGTGGATCAAAAATTATGAAGTTTGACTGTAAATTGGCCATAGTTGACTTTTCCTCCAATACAATTGATTTTTAGGTCAACTGCTCAATTGACTGAGCAAAAGTGTGATCCAAAACTTGAAACTTGACATGAGTAATCTTAGGGGTCCATAATGATCCATGAAAGTCATATGGGGCATTGGAAGTTCAAAAATCCTTGTGAAATCTCAAACCCTAATTTTGGTCATCAGTGTTTAAGGAGGTGTCTTGAACTGATCAAACCCTAGTGCAGTCTTGAGTCTAAGGAGATCTTGTGAGCAAATTCTTGATAAATGAGAGGGAAAATTTTGGGGTACAATAAAGCAGAAGTGGGGGGTACATGCAAGACGCGTCAATGCCAAAGTAAGGTTTAAAGCGAAAGTGCAAGTAAGAAAGAGTGAATAAAATAATGTACCTGACCCTCTAATGAAAGAGGATATTTATAGCCCCGGCGCTGGGCCAAGGTCCCCATTTTGGGCCGGATGTCCAGGCCCAAAATGAAGATTGCAAGGATCCTACGTAGGTAGAGGAGACCACTTCATGGTATTTATCCTGGTTCAACTGCCCTGTGATTCTCGGAGGATGAAGACTCGTTCTTTACGGGAGTATGATAACTCTGATATTCGGAGGAACGTTGACCACATAATCTTGGCGAGCACATGGAGGAGACGTATTTGTCGGGCACGTGGATGAGATATCCCCGACGGGTATGTGGAGGAGGAGGGGTCCTTGATAGATACGTATAAGAGACGTTCACGGCGTGCACGTGTTGAAGGGGAGGTCCTCGACATGCACGTGTGAGAGACGTTCTCCAATAATCATAATAATGTGGACCACAATAGTGGATCTTCTTCGTAGCAGAGTTGGGTTAGACTTTGCCCGATGACGGACCAAGCACGGACTCAATCTAAAACATAAATCTTAATAATTAATCATCATGTATTATATTTTTTATTAATTTTTCAACGTGAAGGAATGATGTTTGAGGAAAAAATACTTAAAAATTATAAATCATAAAATATTTATAAAATAAATATATTGACAAAATTCAACCATAGAACATACAAATCTTAATTTTCTGTTTAACCCTTAGATTAAACCTTTAAATCTCAAATAATCATTCAAATAAAATTATAAAATATATCAAATTACATGCTATAAGAATAACAAGTAATAATACAAATTTAGTACTATATTAATAATATTAAAATTAAAATTAATTTTCAAAAAACTATTCACATATTTCATTTTTTTCCTTAAAATTTTGTTAGGAATAAATAAATCCCCTAAGCTTGTCAAATAAGCTTGCAAAGCAAAATACTTTTCGCGCCTCTCTATCGATTTCGAATCCCTCCCTCGATCTTCTTCTCTTCCCCCTTTCCTCCTTCTCCTCTTCTCACCCAATCCCCCCAATTACCCAATTTTCTTCTCCACCAACGTCTCGTTGTTGTGTTAAAAATGGAGCAGCAGCGACTCGAGAAAACAGCACAACAACAGGACCATGAAACCGAAGAGATTCAACACGGTCCTTTACCCGTCGAAAACCTTCAGGTATAAAATTTCTCTTTTTTTTAGTGATTTTCGCGACCCATTATAATCAATTTCATTTCTAGGTTGACCCAATTGATTAATATCGAAAAAGAAAATTTCCCCCCTTTTGCTGTTGTTGATTGTTCCGTTATTGATTGTGATTTCAGACATCTGGTATAGCTGCACTTGATGTCAAGAAGCTTAAAGATGCGGGTATTTGTACTGTTGAATCTGTTGCTTATACTCCCAGGAAGGATCTTTTGCAAATCAAAGGTATCAGTGAAGCCAAGGTTGATAAGATCATTGAAGCAGGTAGTTGTTCACTTCACTTTTGTTTTAGGGTTTGTTTGATAAGTGTTGCCCTGTGGCCATCATTGGTGAAGGTATGCTGAGTTTGTGGTGTTTGCTTTGTTTTTTGTTTATTGGCAGCTTCTAAGCTGGTGCCTATGGGTTTTACTAGTGCTAGTGAGCTCCATGCCCAGCGAGAATCGATTATTCAGATAACCACTGGGTCAAGAGAGCTTGACAAGATATTAGAAGGTTAAACTCCGAATCGCATATACTTCTTTTATGTGTGAATTTCTAACATAATATTAATGCTTTTGCTGTTGAGTGCCAATAATTTTATATTTTGGTGGTGATTCGATCAGGTGGAATTGAGACGGGTTCTATCACTGAATTGTATGGTGAATTTAGATCTGGGAAGACTCAGTTGTGTCACACTCTCTGTGTCACTTGCCAAGTATGTTGTTTCCCTTTTGTGCTATTACATGTTGTTCTAGTGCTTTCTACTAAGTGGTAACTTAAAAGCATCAAGGGGAAGCCTAAATAGACAGAATAGTGGTATCTTTGCAGCAGTTATTCAGTAATAGGATTAGAGCAATTGAAAGAAAAATCTTTCTCATATTATTGATAATCTGAAAAATGGATTATTGTTGTTACAAGAGCTCTATTAACCTATATATAGAGCTATGAGGACACAATAAAACTATCAGTGAATTATTGTTGTTTCAAAGATAGTTATGGGAAAAATTGAATACAAGAGGGACTAGGATAACTTCTAGTTGTCCAAGAGGAAGACTTTAAGAACTAAGAACTCTTAATACACTAATACTCTTCTGCAAGCTTGTGGTGGGTGTGATTCTTGTATGAAGGTAAGATCACACACATTGAGCTTGGACCTCATGACTTCAAAGTTCGTAGGAAAAAGAGCCTTGGTGAGAATGTCAACATGTTGATAAGCTGTGGGTACATAAACTACTTGCAATTGTTTGCTGTGAACTTTTTCCTTTGACAAAAAATCGACCAGGCTCGATAGTTCATATGTTTAGTCCTAGCATGCGGAAGTAGATTACGAGCAAGAGAGTTTTCTCTCAGTTTACTTGATCTTATTGCTGAATGAATATACTCTTGTGTATTCAGTTTGTAAATGTTTAAGTTCATATTGATTTGGCCTTACTACCTAATGTCTTTTTCTAGTAATTAATTTGTCGTTGATAATTGTAGTTGCCACTAGATCAAGGAGGAGGTGAGGGTAAAGCTATGTACATAGATGCTGAGGGAACATTTCGGCCTCAGCGACTCTTACAGATAGCAGACAGGTATAATGATTCTTTATATTGCTTTGTTGCCCTACGTCTGTGGAATTATATATTCAATATTAATGTTCCTTAATGGTACAGGTTTGGACTGAATGGTGCTGATGTATTGGAAAATGTCGCTTATGCTAGGGCGTATAACACGGATCATCAATCACGGCTTCTGCTTGAAGCAGCTTCAATGATGGTTGATACAAGGTGTGACTTCTGATGGTTCCTTTCGAATATGCATTATTATGTCAGACTAGCACTATGACCAGCTGAACTGGCTCTGTTTTATTTTCCTTTCATTCTTTTCTATTAGGCCTTAAGCTGTATTGTAAGATTTACTTTACTAGTGATGTTTGATCTTAATTTGGTTATGTGCTTTAGATGCCAGAATCGATATTGAGGCTTATGTTTTGATGGCTTATACACAGGTTTGCTCTAATGATAATAGACAGTGCTACTGCTCTCTATAGGACAGATTTTTCCGGAAGAGGGGAGCTTTCAGCCCGCCAAATGCATTTAGCGAAGTTCCTGAGAAGCCTTCAGAAGTTAGCAGACGAGGTAAACAGTCCATGTCAGGCTTGTTCTGCACAAATTTCTTTATTGTATATAAACTGATTCATGATTCTTAGTAAACACATACAAATATACAAATTATTTGGAGCTAATAACTTGTTTTGATTGTCTAATTGTAGTTCGGCGTGGCTGTTGTCTTAACAAACCAAGTAGTTTCACAAGTAGATGGTTCTGCAATGTTTGCTGGACCACAAACCAAACCTATTGGAGGGAACATTATGGCTCATGCAACCACAACAAGGTTAGCTCTCAGGAAAGGAAGAGGAGAAGAGCGAATCTGTAAAGTGATTAGTTCTCCTTGTTTGGCTGAAGCCGAAGCAAGATTTCAGGTGTTAGGCGAAGGAGTTTCAGATGTTAAAGACTAACCAATTATAGCATTGTCTGAAACATTGAATGTTTTTTGTTTGTTTGTTTGGGCCCTTTTGCTGGTTGTAAAGGATGATTTGAAAGAATCCAATGTCTAGTTTGCAATAATGTTCATTTTTGGTGGTTTCTGTTTTCTTACCATTGTTCTTTTGGCAGTCGCTTTGCATTTTGTGATCATGATAATTGTTACAGTGTTGATTGTGTAGCTTCATTGAAATTGAGAAACTATTGAATGCAATTGGCAATTGACATTTAAAACATGCACTATGTTTTGAAATAAGAAGATTAGAATTAAACTTTGTCAATATTTATATTTTAGATTTTAAAAATACTCTCTTTAAAACTTACAATTGTGTGGGGGCACAATTAATAAAAAAGAATAATAATAAAACCTCATTATGCCTCATTAAAATTTGCATGATGAGCCTTTCTGATTAATAAACTTAGTAGTATACACTTAAAAATCGCATTATACTTCAATAAACCACTATAAATATTGTATAAAATTAGAATAACCAACTTTTTTTTGTCAATAGAATAGCCGACTTTAAATATGAGAAAAATAGTCTCCTAAAAAAATGAAAAAGACTATGGCTAGTTTATTCTTAAGACTTAGATAAAACATTTTTGTTTTCGTTGCAAATTGTTTAACAATATTTATATTTCTGGTAAATTAGCTAATGAAAGATGTAGGGATTGAAGAAATATTAATTTTAAGTTAAGGAATCATTAAATATCTAATGAAAACGTTACTAACATGAGTTAATAGATTGATTTAGAAACAAAAGTATCAAAAAAACAAAATAGTTGACAAACATCTTTAAGAACAAATACAACAAAACAAATCTCATAATATTTTTGTTAGATAAATGAAATCTAAACAAAAGTCAACGAAAAAGTATCGAGTATAAAATATTTTGCAAACATATTTGATTGTACTTTCTATGTAAGTCATCAAGAGTAAATTGTTGGACTATCCTTCCTATTTGCAGAAGCTCAGATGGACGTGGTTTAGTGTCCTATATATGTCTATGTCTTTGTTATTACTCAACAAAGAGAATTTGGTCATTCATTTATTGTGTGAGAAAGACAACAAGAAAAGGTAGAGAGAAAATTCTATTCCCGCAATCCCAATTCTGCACAAGTCAGTCTCAGAAAATTGGAGCTTGTGCAAAATCCAACGGTCGAATCGTCTTAAAATTTTGACACAACATTCATGACTCATAAGAGCACATTCTAAACGGTGGAGATTGGATTCCGAGCTTTCTAAGTCCTTCTGTCAATTTCATCTTTGAGGTCTGGATTTCTTGATGTTTTTGGGTTGTTTTGTCTCTCTTGATTATTGTTGTATTCCATTGCAAATCTTGATGATATTTATGTATGCCTCTAACTAGTGTTAGGGTACCCATGTTGATTATAGTGGAGATTTTAAGTGGCCTACAGGCTCCGTAGTTTTTTTACTCCTAGTTAACAAAGGTTTTTACACGATAAAATTGTGTTGTGTTGTTTTGTGTGTTTTTTTTTGTTGTTAATTTTCTCTAAGTTACATTTGATACTTGAGAGATATTGTCTTGCTGGTTTATTGTATTTGTGATTTCCTCCCAACAAGTGGTATTTAGAGTTGTGGTTTGATTTGTGTAACGATGGAGACAAACACATCTAGGATGGTGAGTTTGAATGGTTCCAATTATAATGTTTGGAAAGGAAAAATAGAAGATTTGATTTATGTGAAAGGTTTTCACTTTCCGGTTTTCTCTAATGAAAAACCCGATGGAAAGAGTGACGAAGAATGAACTTTGTTGCATAGACAAGTTTGTAATTATATTCGTCAATGAGTGGATGATAATATTTTGAATCATGTGAGCTCGGTGACTCATGCTCGTTCTCTTTGAATCAAACTTGAGGAATTGTATGCAAGAAAGACGGGGAACAATAAGATGTTCTTATTCAAGTAATTGATGTCATTGAGGTATAATGGTGGTTCATCAATGACCGGTCACTTGAATATTTTCTAAGTGATTCTAAATCAATTGTCATAGATGAATCTTATTTTTGATGATGAAATTCAAGGTTTGTGGCTTCTTGGTACTTTGCCTAATTCCTGAGAGACTTTTAGGGCATTATTGTCTAAATCTACTCCAAATCGTATCATCTCGATGGACTTGGTTAAAAGTAGTATGTTGGATGAGGAGTTGAGGCATAGTCACAAGGTTCTTCTTCACATTCTGAGGTGTTAATTATCGAATCAAGAGGGAGACATCAAAGTAGAGGTTCAATTAATCGTCAAACTTCATGTGGTAAATCACAAGGAGACTCTAATAGATTCACTTATATTGAGTGTCATTATTATGGGGAAAAAGGACACATAAAAAGGTATTGTCGTAAGTTGAAAAGGAAAAACAAGAAGAAGAGTTACAACAACGACAAAAAGGAAGGTAATAATAATGAAGATGTTGCTATTATTGATGATTTATTTATTGTTTGTGATAGTTGTGTTGAGAATGTCAATCTATCATGTGATGAGATGGATTGAGTGGTTGATAGTGGTGCTTCTATTCATACAACCTCGAGATGTTATCTTTTTTCAACTTACGAGACCGGTGACTTCGGGGTTGTTCGTATGGGAAATAATGGGCAAGCTAATATCATCGAAATGTGAGATATTCGAAACTAGCAATAAGACTGCTCTAGTTCTCAAAGGTGTGAGACACATTCCAGAACTTTGATTCAATCTTTTATCCATTGGAAAGTTGGATAATGAAGGATATGATCATTATTTTTCAGGAAATGAATGGAAGTTAAAGAAAGGCTCAATGATGGTTGCTAAAGGAAAAAAGAATTTGAACTTGTATGTCGTCCAACTTGGGGTTTCAAAGTGCTACATCAACACTTGTGATAATGATATCTTATCTAAATTATGGAACAAGCGTTTGAGTCATACGAGTGAAAAAGGTTTAAGTATTTTGGCAAAGAATAATATGTTGTATGGTGTTTCTGATGCAAAGTTGAAATAATGTCCGCATTGTTAGGCGGGTAAGCAAAGGCGAGTTTCCTTTATGTCATCTGAACCAAAGAGGAAATCAGGAGTGTTGGATTTAGTACATTCCGATGTGTGTGGTCCAATGAAGACATGATCACTTGGTGGTGCATATTACTTTATGACTTTCATTGATGATTGTTCTCAGAAAACATGGGCTTATACCTTGAAGACAAAAGATCGGGTGTTAAATACCTTCAAGACATTTCAAGCATCAGCTGAAAGAGAAATGGGGAAGAAGCTCAAGTGTATCTGAATCAATAACAGGGGAGAGTATGTTGTACCTTTCAATAAGTATTGTCAAGATCAATGTATACGTCATCAAAAGTCTCCTCTAAAGATACCACAATTGAATGGGTTAGCCGAAAGCATGACTATAACTTTGGTGGAAAAGGGTGAGATGTTTACTTTCTTAATCAAAGTTGTCAAAATACTTTTTGGGAGAAGCATTGAGTATGGTTGTACATCTTTTAAACCTCGCTCCTTGTGTTCCGTTGAAGTTTGATGTTCCAAATCACGTTTGGAGTGGTAAAGATATTACCTACGACCATCTTCGGGTGTTTGGATGCATGGCTTATGTTCATATTCTGAAGGATGAGAGATCGAAATTGGATGAGAAGTCAAAGAAATATATGTTTGTTGGGTATGGACTTGATGGGTTTGGGTATCGATTCTTTGATCCAGTTCAACAAAAATTTGTTCGTAATCGTGATGTCGTATTCATGGAGGATTATACCATTGAGGATATAGACAAAGTTGAGAATAAAGATCTAACTTTTAAAGACAAAGAAATGGTTGATACAGACTCAACTACTATTGCTCCTACCCCTATCACTTTCGAATATGTTCCAATTGAAAATCAAGGTACGGATTTGAATGTTGATGATATTTTAAATCCTAATAACATTGTTGATGTAGGTGCTATGGATGATGTTGTTGAAAATGAGGTTGATCAAGAGGTTGAAAGTGTTGAGCAATCAGTTGCTTCTAATGAGTTGAGGCTGTCCATTCGTGATAAAAGGCCTTCTATTCGATACCCCTCAAATGAGTATGTTTTTCTTACCGATGATAGAGAATCTGAAAGCTTTAAAGAAGTAGAGATAACACTATGTATAACAATGGATGGCAAAAATATGTTCAATGAGATGGTTTCTCCAATGATTCTTGGGATTTGGTTCACTTATTTGATGGAAAAACTATAATGGGTTGTCGACGGGTCCATGTAGTTAAAATTGGTTGTGATGGAAAAATGGAGTGCCTAAAAGCATGTCTCATAAAGAAAGGATAAATTCAAGTTTTTGGCCTTGACCATGGAGATACCTTATCTCTTGTTGCAAAAATTGCATCAATCTGCATTTTCTTGCTTTGGCTACTATTCATCAATGGAAGTTCCATCAAATAGACATGAAAAATACCTTCCTACAGGAAGTGTACATGGCGCAATCACCCGGATTCATGGTTAGTGCTTCTTCTCACCTTGTTTATCTTCTTCATCAATCTCTTTATGGCTTGAACTAATCTCCTCGTGCTTGATTTGGAAGGTTTAACAATGTGCTCCAAGGTTATGGTATAACTAGATATGAAGTTGAATACTGTGTCTTCTTTTTGCATTCTTCACCAACCACTTGCCTTTACTTGTTGGTATATGTCGATGACATTATCATCATTGGTAATGATAAGTGTGACATTCAATGATTGAAACAACATTTGGCTCTACACTTGTAGACTAAATATTTGGGTCATCTAAAATATTGTTTGGGGATAGAAGTTTCTTAATCAAAGACGGAGGTGACTATTACTCACTGAAAATATGCTCTTGATATACTATAGAAAAACTGACTTGCTTGATTAGTGACACTCATATGGATGCTAACATAAAACTATTACTAGGGAAGAGGAAGTCACTGAAAAACCATGGTAGATATCGACGTCTAGTTGGAAAAATTAATTACCTCGTATTGA